CTGGAACATAAAATACAGTCTATATAGAACATGACATACAGCATCCCTGGAACATAAAATACAGTCTATATAGAACAGGAAATACAGCATCCCTGGAACATAAAATACAGTCTTTATAGAACATGAAATACAGCATCCCTGGAACATAAAATACAGTCTATATAGAACATGACATACAGCATCCCTGGAAAATTGAATACAGTCTATATAGAATATGACATACATCATCACTGGAACATAAAATAGTTTATATAGAACATGAAATACCAGCATCCCTGGAACATAAAATACAGTCTTTATAGAAGATGAAATACAGCATCCCTGGAACATTAAATACAGTCTTTATAGAACATGAAATACAGCGTTTCTGGAACATTAAATACAGTATTTATAGAACATGAAGAACAGGATCCCTGGAAAATAAAATACAGTCTTTACAGAACATGAAGAACAGCATCCCTGGAACATAAAATATGTTAAACTTTGGTCTGTTTATAAGAACCAGAGTTAACCTGTATTACCTGTGGTCTGTGTACAAGGACCAGTGTAAACCTGTGTACAAGGATTATGTTTACCTATGGTATGTGTACAAGGACCAGTGTAAACCTGTGTACAAGGATGATGTCTACCTGTGGTCTGTGTACAAGGATTATGTTTACCTGTGGTATGAATACAAGTATTATGTTTACCTATGTACATGTACAAGGATTATTATTACCTGTGTTCTGTGTACATGGTTCAAAGTAAACCTGTATATAAGGATGATTTATACCTGTGGTATGTGTACAAGGATAATGTTTACCTAGTGTCTGTGTACAAGGACCAGTGTAAACCTGTGTATAATGATAGTATATTTACCTGTGGTCTGTGTACAAGGAACGGCATAAAACTGTGTACAAGGATTATGTTTACCTGTGGTCTGTATACAAGGACCAGTGTAAACCTGTGTATAATGATGCTATTTACCTGTGGTCTGTGTACAAGGACCGGTGTAAACCTGTGTACAAGGATTATGTTTACCTGTGGTATGTGTACAGGGACCAGAGTAAACTTGTGTACAAGGATTATGTTTACCTTTGGTCTGTGTAAAAGGACCAGTGTAAACCTGTGTATAATGATAGTATATTTACCTGTGGTCTGTGTACAAGGAACAGCATAAACCTGTGTACAAGGATTATGTTTACCTGTGGTTTGTGTACAAGGACCAGTGTAAACCTGTGTACAAGGATTATGGAACATAAAATACAGTCTTTATAGAACATGAAATACAGCATTTCTTGAACATTCAATACAGTATTTATAGAACATGAAGAACAGGATCCCTGGAAAATAAAATACAGTCTTTACAGAACATGAAGAACAGCATCCCTGGAACATAAAATATGTTAAACTTTGGCCTGTTTATAAGAACCAGAGTTAACCTGTATTACCTGTGGTCTGTGTACAAGGACCAGTGTAAACTTGTGTACAAGGATTATGTTTACCTTTGGTCTGTGTACATGGTCCAGTGTAAACCTGTGTACATGGATTATGTTTACCTATGGTCTGTGTACATGGTTCAGTGTAAACCTGTGTACAAGGATTATGTTTAACTGTTGTCTGTGTACATGGTCCAGTGTAAACCTGTGTACATGGATTATGTTTACCTATGGTCTATGTACATGGTCCAGTGAAAACCTGTGTACAAGGATTATGTTTACCTGTGGTATGTGTACAGGGACCAGAGTAAACTTGTGTACAAGGATTATGTTTACCTTTGGTCTGTGTACATGGTCCAGTGTAAACCTGTGTACATGGATTATGTTTACCTATGGTCTATGTACATGGTCCAGTGAAAACCTGTGTACAAGGATTATGTTTACCTGTTGTCTGTGTACATGGTCCAGTGTAAACCTGTGTACATGGATTATGTTTACCTATGGTCTGTGTACATGGTCCAGTGAAAACCTGTGTACAAGGATTATGTTTACCTGTGGTTTGTGTACAAGGACCAGCGTAAACCTGTGTACAAGTGAAGAACAGCATCCCTGGAACATAAAATATGTTAAACTTTGGTCTGTTTATAAGAACCAGAGTTAACCTGTATTACCTTTGGTCTGTGTACAAGGACCAGTGTAAACTTGTGTACAAGGATTATGTTTACCTTTGGTCTGTGTACAAGGACCAGTGTAAACCTGTGTACAAGGATGATGTCTACCTGTGGTCTGTGTACAAGGATTATGTCTACCTGTGGTATGTGTACAGGGACCAGAGTAAACCGGTGTACAAGGATTATGTTTACCTGTGGTCTGTGTACATGGTCCAGTGTAAACCTGTGTACATGGATTATGTTTACCTATGGTCTATGTACATGGTCCAGTGAAAACCTGTGTACAAGGATTATGTTTACCTGTTGTCTGTGTACATGGTCCAGTGTAAACCTGTGTACATGGATTATGTTTACCTATGGTCTGTGTACATGGTTCAGTGTAAACCTGTGTACAAGGATTATGTTTAACTGTTGTCTGTGTACATGGTCCAGTGTAAACCTGTGTACATGGATTATGTTTACCTATGGTCTGTGTACATGGTCCAGTGAAAACCTGTGTACAAGGATTATGTTTACCTGTTGTCTGTGTACATGGTCCAGTGTAAACCTGTGTAGATCGATTATGTTTACCTATGGTCTGTGTACATGGTCCAGTGAAAACCTGTGTACAAGGAATATGTTTACCTGTGGTTTGTGTACAAGGACCAGTGTAAACCTGTGTACAATGATTATGTTTACCTGTGGTCTGTGTACAAGGATTATGTTTACCTGTGGTATGTGTACAGGGACCAGAGTAACAGAGTAAACCTGTGTACAAGGATTATGTTCACCTGTGGTATGTGTGCAGGGACCAGAGTAACAGAGTAAACCTGTGTACAAGTATTATGTTTACCTGTGGTCTGTGTACATGGTCCAGTGTAAACCTATGTACATTGATTATGTTTACCTGTGGTCTGTGTACAAGGACCAGTGTAAACCTGTGTACAAGGATGATGTCTACCTGTGGTCTGTGTACAAGGATTATGTTTACCTGTGGTATATGTACAGAGACCAGAGTAACAGAGTAAACCTGTGTACAAGTATTATGTTTACCTGTGGTCTGTGTACATGGTCCAGTGTAAACCTGTGTACATGGATTATGTTTACCTGTGGTCTGTGTACAGGGACAAGAGTAAACCTGTGTACAAGGATTATGTTTACCTTTGGTATGTGTACAGGGATTATGTTTACCTGTGGTCTGTGTACGTGGTCCAGTGTAAACCTATGTACATGGATTATGTTTACTTGTGGTCTGTGCACAAGAACCAGTGTAAACCTGTGTACAAGGATTATGTTTACCTGTGGTTTGTGTACAAGGACCAGTGTAAACCTGTGTACAAGGTTTATGTTTACCTGTGGTCTGTGTACAAGAACCATTGTAAACCTGTGTACAAGGATTATGTTTACCTTTGGTATGTGTACAAGGATTATGTTTACCTGTGGTCTGTGTACAAAGACCAGTGTAAACCTATGTACAAGGATTATGTTTACCTGTGGTCTGTGTACAAGGATTATGTTTACCTGTGGTCTGTGTACAAAGACCAGTGTAAACCTATGTACATGGATTATGTTTACCTGTGGTCTGTGTACAAGGATTATGTTTACCTGTTGTCTGTGTATAAGGAACAGTGGAAACCTGTGTACAAGGATTATGTTTACCTCTGGAATGTTTACAAGGACCAGAGTAAACCAGTGTACAAGGATATTATTACCTTTGGTTTGTGTATCAGGGCCATAATAATCTGTGTATCTTGATAAGATTTACCTGTGCTTAGTATATGTGTATAAAAGACCAGATTTACCTGTGACCTGCCCACTAGCAACAGTTTCAACCCCATAATGCAGTAGGGATACATCTGCTTCTACAAAGGATGGGTCATGGTCACCAGGCTCACTATCAAGGTCACAGTCTACCTGAAGGTCATCATCTCCTTCAACATTCAACACCTCACTAAAAAGTAAAATATTACAGCTAAAACAGTGTTAAAATAAGTTCTATGTTTCAACATCATCATAAAAACAAGGAATATAGAGTGTGATATTGAACCTGTAATATTACTGGTACTAATCTATTGCCCTAAAGGGAAAGCCTAACCATAGTAATAGATTCCTT